TGGGGCCTAGTGAACTAGGAGCACGTGTCCCATCTGGTGGGGTTGTTGGCTGCTCTGGATTCTCAAGAGAAGTTGAGAGTCTGGGTTTTTAAAGGGTAGCTTTTGTTTTTTCAATATTGCCAACAAATACGAATTTTGTAGAAGCTCAGGACAGCCTCAACAGAATTAGTGTGGGGCCTAGATTTGGCTTTCAGGTCATTCCGTGTAGGCTGACCCAGGGCAACAACAGGAGAAAGACGGGGGTGGAGGGCTGGTCATATGTCAAATGCCAGCCTGCCAGTGACCCCTACCTAAGGAGTGCCAGGGTCCCGAGCAGAAAGAGGATGGGTGTGCTGGTCCCCAAGCTGGGTCTGGCGGGTGTGTGCTGCAGTCTGGTGGGGAGTGGGGTGAGGAGTTGGTTCCCACTGGTGTAAGACCTTGGGTCTTGGCAAGGTGAGGATGTAGCTCCTGGGTGCCCAGAGATGGGCACAGTGTGTAAAGGGGGAGCTGACCAGCCAGGTCCCACCCTCCCCAGAGCTCACATCCCAGGGAGGTAGGTAAATGGGTGTCTAGTGACTTTCAGGGTGGTTGTATCTAGAGGGTGGTCTATTTAAACTGAGTGAGGCCAGAGAGCAACTGGGATTTCTGAGGGAAAGGAACTGGAAAGGTGGTCACACCCAGACCAGCCATAGAGCCTTGCAGGAGGACTGTACATTCAGAGCTAGGGGACGGGGTGTGAATGGGGTTTCTGGAGCCTCATGGCCCCTCTCCTGCCCTGCTGTTCCCCCAGGAGCCGCTCCCGCTCAGGGGACTGGTACAGGCGGGGTGGCCGGGGCCCCAGGCACCATAGCAGTAGCCGCAGCCGCAGCAGCTGGTCCCTCAGCCCATCCCGAAGTCGCAGCCTGACTCGGAGCCGCAGCCCCAGCCAGAGCCAGAGCCGAAGCTGCAGCCGCAGTCGAAGCCATAGTCGTAGCCATAGCCAGAGTCACTCGCCATCACCCCCAAGGGAGAAGCTGACCAGGCCGGCGTCGTCCCCTGCTGTGGGCGAGAAGCTGAAAAAGTGAGTGGTGCAGGGCTGGGGAAGAGAATTGTCAGCCTGAGATGGGGATGAACTTGACTGTTTCCTTTTTGATGGGAACTTGCTCCTGCTCTGGGAGCTGTGAGGGAAAGAGGGCCCCAACCTGGGATGGTGGGTCTGAGGAGTCAGGGCCTTGCCTTGGATGATGGGTCATAGGGGGTCATGGCCCTGTCCTTAGGGATCCCAGAGGGACAGGGTATCTCCCTGAGGGCACCTGAGACCCATGGCTTTGACTCTCTGGTCTGAGGGTAGTGTTGAGGTTATGTGGGGTCAGAGATGGCAGGTGTTCTTTCCTCCTCCCAGGACCGAACCTGCCGCTGGTAAAGAGACAGGAGCTGCCAAAGTCAGTAAGAATTTGGAACTCGCCCGTCTAACTCCCGCCAGCAGCAGTGCCCAAGTGCTGGGCCCGGTGGGCCTGCAGGGGGGCCCGGGTGGGCCGGGAGATCCAGCCCCGGGGATTGAGGGGGGCTGGAAGGGCTCTGCCCCCATGAAATCTATGTCCCCTTCTCCTCACTGCTCACTGGGGCTCCATCTGTCCCTGGGCCACCAGACCTTAATGGCAGGTGTCCACAGCTTGCCCCTCCCCACATGTCCTCAAAAGTCCCAGGCTCTTGGATGAGGTGGGTTGTGGGAACTCCGGGACACCCACCCCTCTCCTGCCTCTTCTCCCCCTTCCCCAGCCCAAGCTCACGCCGCAGGAGAAGCTGAAGTTGAGGATGCAGAAGGCACTGAACAGGCAGTGTATGTCCCCTTTCTGTCCCCCAAGTCTTCCTAGTTCTCCCTCCTTCCAGCCTGGCCTTGGGGAGGCACCCTGAGGGGAGGAGGTATGCACGCTGCTCTGCTGCTGCTGTGCTAAGGGCAGCTTGGAGGGCTCTTGAAAGTACCCCTCAGCCACTGTGTCCCTTCCTCCCCATAGTCAAGGCGGATAAGAAGGCCGCCCAGGAGAAGATGATACAGCAGGAGCATGAACGTCAGGTAAGGGTGGAGTGAGGGGTGGGGCTCCGGCGGGGTGCCAGCTGTGCCAGCCCTCACTTCATCTCTGCCATCTCTGCCGCAGGAGCGGGAAGACGAGCTTCGCGCCATGGCCCGCAAGATCCGTATGAAGTAAGGTGGCCCTGTTCCCTGTATCAGCCACAGCCACCTGCTTCTGGGAATCCCCCCATCCCCTTTGTTCCCCACCACCCAGATATGAGCTATAGCTCTGTCGTAGCCCTTGTCTTGCACTGTTTCCTCCCTCCATCCCCAGCCTACTCCAGCCACTGTGACCCTGTTCTGTGAGCCTCCAGCTCATGTTCCCTTTGCTTTTCCCCAGACCCTCACCTGGTTCCCTCCCTCACTCCATTGGGGGATTCTCCTCCCTGACATTCCTGTTTAGAGTAGCACCCCAAAACACTCTATCCTCCAACCCTGCTCTGTTTGCCTCAGCACTAACCCTCACCTGGCAGGCAGTCTGTTTGGTTTGCTCTCTTATTATCAGTGTCCCCACTGAGACACCAGGTCTGCCTGCTGCTGCGTGCTCAGCTCCCAGAACACTGAGTTGGTGCTGTTTGTGGAAGGGCTGAACTGCAGCCAGTCCCATGGCTGGTCTGGTCCAGTGCTGGGAGACGGGCCTTCTCTCCTCTCCCCTCTGCTTGTCTTCTCCTTTCGTGTCTTCTACTACAGAGTTGAGTGCCAGCTCTGTGTCTCTGTGTGGCCCTGGGATGGGCACTGGCTCTCTTGGTGCTGACCTCACAGGCTAACTCAGAGATTAGTGCCCATAGTGCCTTAGCACTCCCCCACATACACATACTCCCTGCTCCCTGGGCCACACTGGGCCATAGTGCTTTGTATTGGCAAGGAGGGAAGTCAGTTAGTGGCAGGACCATGTTGCCTGTTGCTATTTCTGGTTCCACCCTGTACTTGCTGTGGGTCCTTGGACAAGCAACTTAACCCCTCTAACTCCTTCCTCTGGGAGACACGTAAAATGCCCCCACCCTGGCAAGATCCTGCTCTGAGGTGCCCAACATGGTGCCTGGCACATAGGAAGGCCCAATGCCAGCACCACTGCTCTTAGTCGTTGTCATTGTCACTATACACTCATTGTGTGTTGGGTTTCTGAGGATGCTGTGTGCTTCCATTAGGAGGTGTGGGGACAGAGTGCCAAAGGACTCAGTTTCATCTGTCAGACCTGTGTTCTGATCCCGCCTCAGCCATTCACCAGCTGTGGGCCTTTCTCCAGTGTGAGCCTGTTTGCTCAGCTACTAGACAGGGATGGGATAGGTGTGCCACTGCAGCCAGGAGAAGGTGCTCAGTAAATGTCGCCCTTAGGATTGCAAATCCCAGTCATTCCTTTGAAAACCGTTTAAGCACTTAACATGTAAGTTCCTGTGCTCTGTGACTGTGCCCTGAGTGGGACAGGAAGTGATTGAACTGGGCAGCCCTCCTTTCTGTTTGTTCAGCGAGCCTTTCATAGCAAGGCTGACTGGGACTGGGGTCTCAGCTCTGCCCAGCCAGCATTCCCTCTGAGCTGGTCCTCATTTCCAAATGGGGGTGGGGTGCTCTTCCGCTGGGACGAGGCTGTCAGAAGCACGCGCCCTGGGCAGGTGAGCCAGTGGCCCTGGAGTTCAGCGTCCGGGCCACATACTCACCCTCCCTGGGTTGCCTCCCTTCCCCGCAGGGAGCGGGAACGCCGAGAGAAGGAGAGAGAAGAGTGGGAACGCCAGTACAGCCGGCAGAGCCGCTCGCCCTCCCCCCGTTACAGTGAGTGTCTGTGGTCATTGGACTGGAGGCCCTGGGGCGTTAGAAAAAGAAGCGATGTCAGAACTGTTTAGGAAAACCATGGTACACTCACATTGGCCCTCCATACGTTAAAACTCTGAGATGTGTGCACACACACAAGTGTTGCTTCAGTCACGGGGGAATTGCAGGATTGTAAGACATGCTCGTTCCCAGCACACTGGTGTGGGCGGGTGGCCTCAGCCAAAGGCGACACCATAAGTCCAGCCCTGGGGTCCGCTCCCGGCCCTGGGCATTTGCTTTGTCCTTACCACCTCCTTCCTTCCTAGGTCGAGAATACAGCTCTTCCCGAAGGTAAGTAAGCCAGACCGGCTCCCCGGGAAGTCACAGCTGTCCTGTGAGGGAGGTCTGGGCTGGGTTCCTCCACTGCCACCCTGCACCCTTCAGTTGTAGGGCTGCCTCCCTCCGCAGCTGCGTCCTGAAGCCCCAGTAGTCCCCAAGTGTGTTGGTGCGTGTGTGTACATGTGTATGCATGCACAGGGCTCCTCGTGCCCTGCCCAGCCCTCATGGGGCCCCTCCCTTTTTCTTTCCAGGCGCTCAAGGTCCAGATCCCGCAGCCCCCATTATCGACATTAGGCAGAAGCGTGGGGGTTGAGGGGATGGGGTGGGGTAAGGGCTCAAGCTGTGATGCTGCTGGTTTTGTTCTCTAATGAAATAAACGTTATTTAATTCCCTTCACTTGGCCTCAGTGTCATCTGTGTGCTGGGTGCAGGCTCTCAAACCCCATTGTCCACCAGCTGGCCATGCAAGATGGGGAGGGAACTTGCTGGGGATTAGGGGCCAGGCACGTGTTGCCTGTGTGGGAAGCCTGGCTGCATCCTAGTGCCTGCGGCTCAGTGAGGCAGGGGCTCCATCCAGTAGGAAAAGGGCCCAGCACCCACATGTGGAGGATGGGCCAGGACTTTGCCCAGGGCCTCTGGTAACAGGTCCAGGCCTCTCCCTGCCCTCGCCCACACCGGGAACCGGGAGCACGGCTTTCTGTGCCAGTCTTGCTGTGCCACAGGCACTGGGGGCTGGCCTTTCCCCCTCACCCCCTCATTCCAAACCGGTCTGTCCAGCCGTCCACCCCAAGGAGGGGAAGCCTCCTGCCCCACCTCAGATGCCCCGAGAAAGCAAAGTCCACACGTGTGTAACTAGAGGGAGGGAGGGTTTATTCACAGCAGGACAAGGTTAGCAGACATGGTGGCAGTGGTACCAGGGACAGCAGGGAGGGAGGGCATTCCTGCCACTCAGGCCTCCCCACCTGCCTTGGGATGCTTCTGCCGCAAGTGTTTGTCCAGGGTGGCACGCAGGCCAAAGGGCACACGGCAGTGGGGGCACTCGAAGCGGGCACCGCCGGGCCCCAGGCCATGCATGCGGCGGTGGCGGTTGAGCTTGCTGCTCTGGGCACAGGCGTAGGGGCAGAGCTCGCAGGTGTAGGGCCGCTCCCCCGTGTGTGAGCGCCGGTGCACTGTCAGGTTGCTGCTGTTGGTGAAATGCTTCCCGCAGAACTCACAGCTGCCCCCAGGCCCATGGCTCTTGCCCGATGACTTTGACGTCTTCTTGGGCAACTTCTCTGGACTCTGAGCAGAGTCGGTTCTCTCTTCCTTGATGGCAACTCCCCAACCGTCCCCGCCAGGGCCGGCCTGAGCCCCACCACCCGGAGCCCCAGGTTCCTGCACACCTGCCGTGGCAGCGGCTCCAGCCCCTTCACGGCTGCACAGGAGGGTGCTGGCTGGGGCAGCGGCATGGGCAGCTGGCTCTGGAGGGGCGGCTGAGGCCTGTTCCTGACTGGCATCAGTCGTGGAGGGGCTCTGAGGCTGCAGCTGCTGGTGGGTCTTCTTGTGGCGGTTGAGCTTGCTGCTCTGGGCACAGGCATAGGGACACTGGTCGCAGGCATAGGGCCGCTCGCCCGTGTGTGATCTCATGTGCACCTTGAGGTTGCTGAAGGAGCTGAGGGTCTTCATGCACACAGGGCAGGTGGGGCTCCGCCGGGGGAGGCTACTCACCCTGGAGCCCTTGGCCTCCACTTCTGGTCCTACCACTGCTGACATGGCTGCGGCCACTTCTGCCAGGCCCAGCAGTGGGGTCTCCGGGGCCTCAGGTTCTGTCTGGTAGATGGACAGTCCATGGTCCCACTGGGCGTGGCGCAGCAGTTTCCAGGGCTTGGTGAATTGTCGGCCACAGCGGAGGCAAACCAAGATCTTTAGGTTCTCAAGTTCTGCAGAGAGATGGGCTGGGTGTCAGTGTGATGGGTAAGAGGCATAGTGGTTGCAGGTCACAGCTGCCAGTTGTACACATTCTGTGGGAAAGGCTGTTCCAGGGCCCAAGAACAGTAAGAAGACAGGGAAACTCCCTGCCCTCAGGAAGCTGATGTTCAGGGAGGTGGGTGGATGGACAAGCAGCAAGGAAAATGGGGGAATGAGGCTTCTTTCTGTGTGTTTGAAAATCTTCGCAAAGCCTGACCAGGTAGCTCAATTGGATAGTGTCGTCCCCATACACCAAGTTTGCAGGTTCCATCCCCAGTCAGGGTACATACAAGAAGCAACCAATGAATGCATAAATAAGTGGTTCAGCAAATCGAGTTTCCCTCTCCTCTCTCTTCAAGTCAATTTTAAAAAAAGAAAAAATCTTTGAGAAAAAGTGAAAAGTTAAAGTAGAGTGAGGAATGGGGGGAATGCTATTCCATATTGGGGGATTCGGAAGGCCTTGCTGAAGAGGTGACCAAAATCAGTGTGCTAGGTGCCAGGCCATGCCTCAGCTCACAACTTTCCTTTGAGAAAAGACCTTCATTTTCCAGACAGGAAAACGAAGGCAAAGAGACATTTCACCAAGGTCATACAGCTTGGAAGGAAGGGGTAGGCTTGGGGTTTCAATCCAGAAACCTGGGTAGTGGGAGAACAGGTTTTCAAAAGTTAATGGTTTAATAAAAACTGCTTTCGATTATTGAGTGGGTTTTCTGTCAGGCCCCAAGCTCCTGGTTTCCATTACAGAAGAGGGGGTCAAGGCCTAGATGGGGGAGGTCTAGCAGCTACCTGCAGAGGTGGGGGTGGGGTAGTGATTTAGGTCCCCTGCCCTTTACATGACCCCCAGTTGAGAGCCCTTCAAATTGGACATTTTCTCTAGACCCCCCAGGTACTATCAGTCAGGAACTTAATAGATCCACTTGCCTTTATTTTTCAAAGGCTTGGTTTTCGAAGTCTTGGATTTCCCAATGCAACACCAAGGTCAAGAGTGCAATTGGGGCTGCAGAGGGTCCACCTGGCCTGGCTCTCCTTCCTAGCTGTGGGACCTTAGGCAAGAAATACCCTTCTTGGCCCTGGCTGGTGTGGCTCAGTAGGTTGAGCATAGTCCTGTGCATTGAAAGGTTGCTGGTTTGATTCCCAGTCAGGGTACATACCCAGGTTTCAGGTTACCCAGGTCGGGGTGTGTATGAGAGACAACTGATTGACATGTCTCTCTCACATCGATGTCTCTCCCTCCCTCCCTTCCACCCTCTGAAAAGCAATGGAAAAAATATCCTCGGGTGAGGATTAAAAAAAAAAAAGGAAACAAAGAAATACCCCTCTTTGAACCTGTTCCCACATTTGCTAGAATATGGGGATCCTCTCCCTTTTAGGGTAGTCGTGACCTCGAATGGGGAACAACTGAGAGGTGGGCCCATGTAAGCTCTCAGTAAACATTAGCTGGGCTGAGCCTACAATCCTGCAAGAGTCTCAGTGCTTTGTTCCAATAATTCCATCACAGCTCCTCCCTGCTCCCACTCTGCAGCGGATTCAATCACAGCTCTTCCTTTCACTAAAGGACCCTCCCTGTGGCCCAGCCCTCTGCAAAAATCCCAGGAGCACATAGGCTGGGGGCTAGAAATCCTTGGTTTGAATAAGCCCCATAGCCAGAACTGACCAAAAGCTCACCATGAATCTAGTACCATGTTAAGGGTTTAATTCCATCCCAAGAGAAGGAACCCAGACTCCCAGGCAGGAGGACCTGACTAAAACCAGGGGCTTCCCAGCAAGCAGAGCTGGGAGATTCCAGGGGAGAGGGGGACAACACCTCCCTTCCAGCTGGCCTCAGGCCGCCCCTCCCCCAGGCCACTGTCCTCCCCAGGGTCCCCCCTACTGCCACACTGGTCCAGCCACCTGGCCAGTTATTTCTGGCCAAGGGGAAGGAGAAGTGAAACTAGATTGGGGGGCGTGTGTGGCAAATCCCCGGACCAGTCTTCTGGGGCTGGCCACACCCTGTGGGCCACCCTCCTTCCCTGCCCAGCCCCACCCCCACCCCCCTTCACCACCACTAGTCCCAGCCCTAGGACAGGGCAGGCCCTGGCCACGCCTATGCTGCACCCGAAGGGGAGCCAGAAAGGGGAAGTAGTGCTCACTGCCCCGCCTGTCCAGCTCAGCCCCTTCTCCCACAGGAAGCCGGGCCCTTGAACTTGAGAGGGGGCTGCATCCCAGCTTTACTCACCTGAGCCGGAGGAAGGGCTGGGGCCTCTGTGGAGCTGACAGCCCAGCTTCTTATGGTCCATGAAAGTAGTGATGGCCTTCAGCGGGAAGGTCTGCAGGCAGCGGCCGCAGGTCAACATATCTGGGTGTTCGTCGGTCCAGGGCTGGCGGTCTGCAGGGAGGAAGCGGGTAGTGAACGTGGGGTGGGGCCAGAGCGGGGCTGAGGGTTCCGAGGGAGAGGGGAAACCCAGAGGTGAGAAGGGGGCCAGGGCCCAGCTAGGGAAATATGGCAGGGGCAGGGGGCAGGGGGCAGGGGACGTGGAGCGGTGCCCGGAGGAGAGCGTCGCACCGGAGAGTGAAAGGGGAGGGTAGTGGGGCCCGGTACAGGGGGACCTTACCGTGAGGATCCGCGATCAGAGAAGTCCAAGGAGTCCATTGGTTCCGCGAGCCGAGGGCGTGGAGGGAACCGCCGGCGAGCACCAGGCCGGGGGAGTAGCGGGTTTCGCCCTCGAACCGCCCGGGCGCGGGCACTTCCTTTGAAGAATAGGGCTGCAGCCCCGGGGCCTGTAGGGGCCACGTATTTGGCTCGGGCTTCACGTCGATGACCAGGTCCCGCATCTCCGTCTCGTCGTCTGAGCTGGCTGAGCGCGCGGGGTCTACTCGGCGGGGCGCGCAGCCGGCCTTACGGCGGGACATGGGTT